TGATAGATATAAGTGTAATATTCAAATTGAAACCGACCAGAGACAACTTGAGATGCTAAAACAAAAAGAAAACAAAGGATTAACCTCCTTATTCAACAAGTGGAGGGAAACTTCCGCTAACATGATCGATGTCCTTACTGAAAAATAATCCGTGAGGATGTTCATCAAAAATTTACAAGAAAAGTATTCAAAGCACTTAAAATATCAACACAACTTGAATACTTTCAAGGTTGTCTATGACATAGGCATCGAGATCAAAGATGACCTCACAAAGCAAAAAGCTACTAACAATAGTAACCACAGTGGCTGGAAAGGAAAGAAGAATGACAATCCTTCTTCTTCCGAAAACGCCCACTCTAGTAAAAATGTTAGTACCTTTGATATCAGTGAAGTTTTAGCCATGGATAACTAAGGATCTAAGAAGCAACTAAGGAAAGACTTCACCCCCATTGGGATGAGCTACGAAGCTTCCTTCGACCGACTCCATACTAAGGGACTCATTACTCCCATTGGACCTATTCAAGATACCGCACCTGAAAAAAGATTGCCTAGTTAGAATCCAGATGCACATTGCAAGGACCATCAAGGTAGGGGTCATACTACTAAGAGCTGTTGGAAGCTAAAAGAGGCTATCCAACATTTGATCGACAATAAAAAGCTTCCCATACCTCCAGCTAGTAAGAAGAGCGAGTGATGATAAAGCAAACAACACAAGGCGAGCTTTAACGACAAGATTTCGTGACCTCATTTTTACTATTTCTTTTATTTAACCCTTCCCCAATAAGTTTAACATAGGCAACTTTTTATTCCCCTTAGATTTATTTTGTAGGATCATTCTTTCTTTTCCTTTAATAAAAATGAGCATTTATTTTCTTGCATATAATCATTTCATTACATAACATAAAAAACAAAAATGAAAAAAATCCATGCCGAACTAAGCGCAAGGTATACCAATGATTTGAGGCATCCCTTATAGCCACATCATATCATCTTTTACCCTTCAAATATGTAATCCTTTCTTGATAAACCACTTCGAGCCTCATCTAACGATTGACTTTTCTTTATTCAACCCACATCTATCTAACCTTGGGATGGGATGGTGTGCAACTTATGAAATTTCGAAAGCTTGATGATATATATATACATATATATATATATACATATGATAATAATAATAATAATAATTATAATAATAATAATAATAATAATAATAATAATAATAATAATAATAATAATAAAAGTGTACAAAAGGGCAAGTGTTCCAATGTCTTTGATATGAACACGTCTCAGATTGCGTTTCTTATTGAGTGCTTGGTACCGTTCCTAAGAAACATGAATGCCAAGTGAGTGATAGACCGCATGATCGGGATTTCCCATACTTATAAAAATAAAATAAATGCAAAAACAAAAGAGAGAGCAAAATATGAACGAAAAAAAAGAAAAGAGAGCTAAAAAAGAGTTGAAAGCCTCAAGCATAAAAATATAAAGATTCAAAAGCAGGGTTGCACACCTTGGGGCTTATCGAGGGTCTTGAGCCTTTATCTCCTTCTTCTTCAAACCTTTAGCCTAACCACGTTACAACCCTTAAAAGACCTCTTTGAGGTATACATATAAGTTTGCGAGGTTCGGCTAGAGCTGCGTTCGGCCTGATTCCTAACGGATACGTAGGCAACCTCACATCGAGGTGCGGCCGTAATAAAAAATCATTCATATTCATATTCACATTCACACACTCACACCATGATCATATCAAGGGATCCCTTATGCTCATCCTTATCCATTTAGAGCTAGACTTGGGGGCTTGATCCTTACATCATTAGCTTACCTAGCCTAAGAGTCACCATTATTTGACTCTTCTAAAAATAATATTTTTCCATACACTTAGTCTTTACAGCCTAACTTTAGTGTCACTTTCACACACTGCACAGATACATGACCAAATAATCCTTTCATTAGGAACCCTTTGTCATGAAATCTTAACACAAAATTGAAGCATACTTCGTCATAACAAAATCACTCATCACTCATCACTCATCATTGCATCACAAAGTATGAAGTGCTTAGCCTCCGTGCCTAAGTTACCTAAATATTTTCATCAAAGATAGCCTAGGATAAATTAATCCTTGAACCTTGAGAGATAGTATCAAACAACTTTTGACTAAGCTCATTCAACATGCACCATCTAAAACTTCTTCCTTTTTGTGTCTTTCTTTTTCGGGAGAAAGTCGGTACTACAGACACCCATTTTTGTCTCCCCAAAACCAAACTCAGTGATGAATACCTTTCATGTCATTTGATTATCGAAAAAAGATAAAGTGTGAAAACTCCATTAGGAATCAAAAGAACCTTCTAGATTATTTTAGAAGACTAAAATAAATACTAATAGATTTAGGAATGATAATTAATAATAGGCCCTCCTCTAGATCATTGGGCCGCATATAAGAACCAAACCAGGCCCAGTTTAGTATTTTGGCAATAACTTACTCATTATTCATCAGAATTGGGCCTATAATCTATCGTTGAAAAGATATTTTCAAGCCCCACCCAACTAAACTATTATTGGAACCTTATCATGAAACAAACTAAACTGGATTGACTATTTTCATAAAATAGAGTAGGTTTTCGAAAACAGAAAGAGAGATTTTTTATAAAAATTAATCGCAACATTAGACTTTTCATACCTTCACCTCATTTGATAATCAAATAACATAAAAGGTATTCATCACTAGGTTTGGTTTTAGGGAGACACAAATGGATGTCTACAGAAGCCCCCACTTTGACTAAGTTTGGAGACAGGCAAGTTTCGAAAACAAAAGTCAAAATATTGATAGGGACAAAGAATGATTCAAAAAGTTCTGTAATCCTAAATCATTCTTGTAACGCCGATACCTGCAAAATAGAATTAGTTAAAACAGATAAGAGAATTAAGAAATGCGTATCTTGCACCGTCGAGCACACGTCTCTTGGAGTAGCCGATTTGTTGCATGGTTGTTGTGACAACCCTCTACAACCCTGCAATAGAGCTTTTTTGGTATATCCATGCGTCTCTGAACAAAGAGCTTTGACGATCTTCCTCAAGCTAGGGGATACCGCTTGAAGACTGTTACGCTTGTAACTGCCTCCAATTTTCGTTGTGATAGTTTTCTCCAAGCCCGAGAATACTATCGAAGATTACTTCGCCTGAAATAACCTTATACCGCCTTGTGACTATCTTTCGCAAGCCAGGGAATATGATCAAAGATTGCTCCGCCTGAAGCCATCCTCAATTGTTGCGATACTTTGGGTGATGACAATCCTCTTTTCTTTGGGAATAGTTGCCAACACAACTCTTGTATAATGTATGGCAATCCGACTTAGGGAAAGTTGTCAATGCTTCGTAACAATCCATCCTTGCAAATGTTGCCACGATGAAGCGATAATCCGTATCTCGGAAAATTTGCCAAAATACAATTTTGGGAAAAGTTGTCAATGCGTCGTAACAATCTGTCATAAGAAATTTGCTACGATCGACAATATACATCTTGGAATATAACTCTTGAAAGCAATCCACCTTGGAAATTTGCCAAAAAAGAGTCGATCGACAATCCAGTTTGGGAAAATTTGCCACTTACTAAAATAAATGACAATCCACGTTGAGGAACATTTGCCGAATTTTATGATGAATAGAGACCTACGACAATCCTTTGGGAAATATTGCCATAGGGAACTGGGTGTATGACAATCCAATCTCGGAAAACTTTCCAGCGATGACAATCCGAACTTGGAAAAAATTGCCAAACAGAGAAGAAGCACGGCAATCCACGCTTGGAAACTTTACTAGAGATGACAATCCAATCTTGGAAAAATTGTTGTTTAAAAATAATGCGCGACAATACATATTTGAAAATATTTCCGGTTGGGGATGACAATCCAATCTTGGAAAAATTGTCGTTTAAGTGCTTGCTTTTGAATCGATGCCTTGGTGCTTGTAATGAGCCAAAGCTTAGACGCTTAAGCTAAGTGAGACGATCGTCATCAGGTCAATGACTTACCACGATTGTAATTGAGCCAACTACTAATCATGTCAATTTGCTTATAGGGGCTAACTGGCGTACCAAGGAACCCGAAAATACCATATGAGGTCCGCATAATCCAATATGGGACCACGCATCTCGTCGCTGCACCAGCGCTCGCCAGAACATATTGTCGCCGCGTTCTTGCTCTGTCGCCAGGCGAATGCTTTGTCGTTTGACGCTGGAGTCAGGTTTTCATTCGCGGCTTTTCGAAAAAATCCGGGAATGTTCTTACTCACTAGAATGTACTTGCATTTATATTTTAGACTGTAGGACTTTGCTCATATAATTAAGGTTGACCTAAGACTTAGTGTTGGTTGACTCATTTTCTTGACACGACTCAAGGTATAAACTTGACTTAATGATTAGTCACTTCGTGTGACTCGTGTGTGCATAGTGTTGACTTAATGTGATAACACGACATGACTCAATGTGTACATGACTCGTCTGTGCATTGTAATGTGATCGTGCGACTCGAAAAATGCAAAAAAGCAAAAAATTTCCGTCATTTTTGTGGAGGGTACTGACTTTCTTCCGAAAAAGAAAGACGTGAAAAAAGAAAGAGGCGGAGTTTTTGAAGGTGCATGTTGAATGAGCTTAATCCGTTGACGCTGTCTCTCTCAGTACAAGGATTGTAACATCTTAGACTATCCTAGTTGACTCGATAATGAAAGTATTTAGGTAACTTAAGCGCGGAGGCTAAGTACTTTATATTTTGTGATGTAATGATGATTGATGTTGATATGACAAGGCATGCTTCAGCGTTGAGTTAAGATTTTATGACAAAGGGTTCCTAAGGGAAGTATATTTTGGTCATATATCTATGAAAGTGACACTATGGTTAGGCTGCAAAGGCTAAGTGTATGCAAAGATATTATTTTGAGAAGAGCCAATAGATGGTGACTACTAGAATTTAAGTAATTAACAACGACCCAATAACGACGACATAAAAAATTCATTGTTAAAAGCATACTTATAACGAGGACTAAAAATGTTTCTCGTGAAATTAGACTATTGTCTGCACAATGACAAAATAATGTTAAATGTCTGTCGTTAATAATCTAGAAATAGAAAATAATACCAAAAAAAAAAACAAATCGGACGCGGCGGGATTAAAATTTTGAACCGATAAAATTTCTATTTTTCACTCTTACCTCCCGCTGCATTGAACTCCTAAAAGAAACCCTTGTTTTCCCAATCAAAACCTATTCACTCTAAAATTCCCAATTCGAGGATAATCGGAAGCTGTATTCCTAAATCTTGCTGATCAAGGTCTATTCTTTCTCAAACTTAGAAGACAACGAAGGATATATTCAATAATCGGTATGTTATTACATCTCTTTTGAATTACAAAATTGCAGTTTAAGTTTTAGTTTCAATTTAATATATTGAAGGACTTGTTAATTTGTTAAAATCTGAAGTTTTTCCTTTGTTTGATTTTAATTTTAGGCCTGATTTCAATCAGGTTCATCAAATTTACCCCTTTTCTATTGTAGTTTCATTTGATTTTTAGTCAAAAAGTTTGATGTTTTATTGAATCCTTGATTTAACAATCTGATTCTTGTTTTCTAATTTGTTTAACTATTTGCATGTATCTCTAAATTATTTCCTTTAATTTGTCTCTTATCCTTTGTTATCTACGCATACATGATGTAAATTTTTTTCAATACTTTTAATTAAATAAAATGTTGGCTGGAATATTAGCTGTGTAAATTAGCATATATAAGTAGCTATAGATAATCGGTGGTTTATGTGAATTAATTTGAGAAAATTTATGATGTTATATACATACATATATACACATATATACTCTCACACACACACACACACACACACACACACACACACACATATATATATATATATATATATATATATATATATATATATATATATATATATATATATATATATATATATGTATATGTATATGTATATGTATGTACATATCAATCTCGACATACATACACATCTAATCTGAAATTATGAAATCCATAGTTGTTCTAATGATATAAGTAGCATATAAATTTTGCTTTTATCATTATATTTTCGTGGTTATTGGTCTGATATTAGTTTTAATGGTGTGTGGATATTTGTCGGGCCATTTTTGGTGTGTATGTAAGATGATGTTAGTTACATCATCATGTGTGCTAGAGTATATTGGGAGACTACAATAATATATAAATTAGGAATAATTATAGGGAAAAGTGAACCTTAACCTTTTATTAAACAAGATAATGGCTGGGCACTTACTTTAGATTTGATTATTTAAAGGTTGCTCCATGTACTTCCATTAAAGTAATAATAATATTTCTTTCTTTATTTCTTGAAAAATTGGATATATATGTTGTTTCAATTACACTATGATATTTTGATTGCGTAAAAGGATAACAACTGAAACCCATAATCTGAAAATGTAAGACAAGAATTTGATAATATATACTAAATTCATGCCTTTTTTATTGTTTGCGGTTTCCTTTGTAGTTTTTTTTCGTTTTTATTCTATAATTTTATTTTACTTCATGAAAATGGCTCCTAGTAAGGATTGGATGGCAATCGAGGATTATGTTAATGACCCATCATATGAGGAGGGAGTTGACAATTTCTTAGACTATGCTTTTCAAAATGTGAAAACCCATACAATTCGTTGTCCTTGTTATAAATGTATTAATGGAGAATCCGGTGATCGTGAGAAAGTTAAAGAACATCTACTAGTTTATGGAATAGTAAAATGGTACACCTTTTGGTACCATCATGGTGAGGGGTTAAATGAGCCAGAGCTCATGTCAGCTAAAGTCTTATATACGCAATAGGGCCCATCAAGAGGCTTCTATCGCAGAATGTTATTTATCAGAGGAGTGTATGAATCTTTGTTCGAGGTATATGCATAATGTAGAGACAAGATTTAATCGTCTTGATCGAAATTATGAAAATTTCCAAGGTCATGTTGATGCTCTGCCTATTTTTAGTCATTATGGTCGAGCGTTCGGAGCTGCTACTGTTAGAGAGCTAGAGAAGAGTGAGCTTGATGAAGCTCACATTTATATTTTGAAGAATTGTGATGAGGTCCAACCTTTAATTCAGTAAGAACCTAAGACCTATCTAACTTCATTCTTTTTTCTATATTAACTTATCAGTATTAGGAAGTGTATTTGTATGATTATTTTACAGAGAGTATGCTGAAGTTCATAAATCAATGGATCATAGAATCACAGAAGAGGAATGGTGTGAAAATTTTAAAATTTGGTTCAAGAATAAAGTAAGAAAATATTCTTTTGTTTAGGTTTTGAGGTATATGATTTGACATTATGTTAAATTATAAAATTTATGTTTTATTTTTTTTCATGGTAGGTTGCCCAATTATATGAGACTAATAAGAGCACAGAAATGGAAAATTTGCTTTCATTTCACTAGGGCCAACACAATATGTTACATCGTTCACTGGTTATATTGTTAATGGATATAGGTTTCACATAGAAAGTCGTGATAAAACCTTGAGAACACAAAATAGTGGGGTGGTTGTGATTGGAAACACAGGGAATGAAGAGGAGAACATTAATTATTATGGAATAGTGACTGCTATAATAAAGATCCAATATCTTGGGCAAAATTGAGTAGTACTAATTCGTTGTATTTGGTGGGACGTATATGATAATATTAGAGGAGTCAAAGCCGATGAATATGGAGTTGTTAGTGTTAATTGCAATTAGTAATTAAAAACTAATGAACCATATATATTAGCTAGTCAAGCTAGACAAGCTTTTTACGCCATCGACAATCTAAATAAAGGTTGGAAGCTTGTGTCAAAGACTCAACTGCGCAACTATGATGAAAGTGATGATAACGAAGAAGGTGATGCATATCAACATAGTGAATTATTCAAACCTACATATGCGGCATCTTCCTCAACAATGGCAAGTTCTAACATTTGTAAGAGCAGGGATGGCATAGATTCAATCTTTATGCCTTAGCTCATATCCCGAATGAGCTGAAGCTGAAACTTGTTCTATGATATGCTAGAAAGTGAATCTGGATACTTTTTTTTATTTAATTTTTTTTTTTGAATCTAGATACACTAGCTAGCAGTGTCTGAACACAAGCCGCTTTTTTTCAAACAGCTCAAGAAACTTTGGCATACCTCAACAGCTCCTTCAAAAGCAGGGGTTCTGTTTTCTGAATTAAACACTTTGCTGATAGATTATGAGCCTTACAAAGGCCTTCTGAATCCGGTAAATTACTGTCTCTTTAAGTTGCAAAAAATGTGATAAATCTTGTCCTTGCATCCAAACACTGACGTATATCCTAGGAAGTATGATGCAGGAAATTTGACTGATGATTTTCTAGGTAAGCATCATACATCATACACGAAGTCTTGTGAGATTTTAAATCTTTTGTAGTTGTAGTATTGTCGTCTTATACGAACTTATGAGATTTGAACTTATGTTAAAGTGATTTGGAGATAATAAAACTTTGGATTTTTTCAGGGAACATGAAAATTTGGGCATTGGTCAATGCTAAAGTGATTTGGTTGCTACTGGCCTGCTGCTCTTAATTAGTTGCTGTTGTGCTTTGCAGTTGTTCTTAGATGACGTTTTGCTGCTGCTCTTTAGTTGCTGGGCTCTTTGTTGCTACTGATGCTTTTGGGTGCTGCTGCAGTGTTGTTGGTGGTGATGTGGTGTTCCCGGTTTATTATTTTTTTTAATTATTAACATTTTTAATCATATAATGTGATGGGTTTATGAGCACTTCTAGAAATATAATATATATTAAGTGTAAATATAAATTTATCATATTATTTGATATAAGCATGTGAAATCTCCTGTCCAGTATGTGCTGGACATTTTTTTTTAATTGAATTAAAACCTATTTGTAACGAGCAGATGTAATGCCCGTTACGAATAACAGGGTTATTCGTAACGGGCAGATGTAATGCCCGTTGCAAATAACGGTGTTATTTGTAACCGGCAGATGTAATGCCCGTTACAAATAACGGGGTTATTCGTAACGAGCACTGTTTTTGCCCGTTATGAATAACTGCTTATTCTTAACAGGCAGTGCCCGTTACGAATAACATTGTCTATCCGTAACGGCCGTGAATGTAACGCTTGTTGCCCGTTATGGATAGGCTGTTTTTGCCCGTTATGGATAGCAATTTTTCCACTAGTGGCACCAAAAGTGGTGAACAAGGACCTTTAAAAAGAGGCGAAGAGAAGAATAATATAATCTTATTTTTAATTCTGTTTTGTTTTAGTTTTTTTTCATGAATTGACTTGAATCATCTTATTTGATTAATTTTTACATTGGAGCTTGCTTTTGACTTTTTACGTATTGTTTTTTACTTGCCATTGTGATTTTGATTAATTTGAACATTGGAGCTTGCTTTTGACTTTTTACGTATTGTTTTTTACTTGCCATTGTGATTTTGTTTCATGGGATGACAGTTGTTTCTACAATATATTATTTGAAACATAAAATATGAATGCATGATCTTCAGAGCTCTATTAATATGCAAATGAAAATCTAAAAGGGTGTAGTAAAAATATGGGGTTGGTACACTAATCAATATTATTTAGTGCCAGTAGTATTAAGAATTAGAGGCATATATTCTTGCTCTGTGTAAACAAATGATTCAAGAGTTGAATATTTTGTACAGGTATTTCTCACTTAATTTTTAATTTGTTTGGAATATGTTGTTATACCCTTATCTCATATAAATATTTATGACGACGTACAAATTTTCTTAATTTATTGCATGTAAAATGGTTCGGCTAACCAAGAAAGGAATTCGTCTAAATGTATAAATTATTTGACCAAGTGAAAAAGTGGCTCATTCAAATGAAGTTGCACATAAACCTTCTTTGGTAGGATCGAAGAGAAATTATGTACCACCCCAATTTCTTGCTAGGGGACGTGGACAAAAGTTAGCAGACATGTATTCTGCCAAAAGACAAGTTCTGCCTAACTCTTTCAATGCAACTAGAACACACAATGATATTTTGAAGCCTCTTTAAGGTCAATTGAATCATTCTAGAGGTATTCCTAATAAGGATAAATCTAATATAAATGATTGAACTTCCTTCAATCCATTATTTTCTCCCCCACATCAATGATCAAGAAATGACATGGAAGATTATAATTCATCATCTGAGTCAATGTAAGAGGACAATGATGAGAATGAAATCTATTCCTCCCCTGAAGACAAGGATATGCATATTCCACATGATAATGAGGTTGTAAGTGATCAGGATTTTTAGGCAAATGAAAATATGATTGATCATCAAAATGATAATGACAATGAGAGGGAGATATCTACTGATGTTCAAGAAAATGCAAATGGTAATACTTTTAGCAATTAACAATATATTTGATTTATCATGTATCTATTATTTTTTTGGTTGTAAATGTATCTATTAATTTGATACTTCTAACTATTTTTTTTTAATATATGGGGGTGCATCTTCTACCACTAAGAAAGCTATGATTGAAAAAAAGAGGGGAAGAAACAAATGTAAGGAAATAGTTATGCTTAAGCCTAATGAGAAATTAGAGATTGATTCTATAATAATAGAGCTGTGGGAACAAATCACAAGGTATTTGCAAGGCATCTTGGGATCATAGTTCGATAATCAAATATCTGCCCAGTTAGAGTTCGCAAATGGAGTGATATTGGAGATAGAGAAAAAGAACACATGTGGACTGTTGTTACGGTAAGTATTTAGTCTAGTTGCTAAGCTATTGATTCATATACTATTATTTATAAAAGGAAGTGGAGTGAATCAAATATACTACTTCAGTTCCCTTTCATAAAATGCAGAATTTAAGATGTATTGTGAAGCTTTTGCGTATTCTCTCATTATTTTGTCAATTGTCCTAATCCTAAAGTCATGAAACTGTTAGCTCAAATTATAATGTAGATGATAGAGCTGCGCTTCATACTAGTTTTTTACAGGTTAGCAGACATGTATTCTGCCAAAAGACAAAGGTTAGCAGACATGTATTCTGCCAAAATTCTTCTTAATGGCTGAAATCTCTTTACTAGTCTTTCCCTTTGTTTAAGGACAGTTCCTAATTTGATTAGGAACTGAAAACTTACTACTGTCTTATTGAGGTGGTTGTGATCTTAAAGGGACAGTTCCTAATTATTTTTTAGCTTTTTTTGTATTGATTAAATTAATAGATCATATCTGGTAGTGGTAGGATTAATTATATCTTATTTTCCAACATTAATTGATAATCTATCTTATGTTAGGATGTCTTTACTAATGAAAGCATTGACGCTTACAAGGAGCATGTTCTTAACCATATGAGAGAGCTATGGACCAATTGGAGGTCTGATTTATTAAGGTGTAATGTCACCAAGAAGAAAATTACCTTAGCAGCTACATACAAAGGTAAGCCACCAAACGGAGTTGAAGAGAATGATTGGAAGTGGCTAATCAAGGAGGTTTATTTAGACGATGATTTTCAGGTAAATCCACAAAACTAGAATTTATTTTTTACTATTATTTATATATCATATAATGATACATATTGTTAATAATCTACAGAAAAGAAGCATTAGGAACTCTGAGAATAGAGCTAATTATCCTAAAGAGCTAATGCATTGAACAGGGAGCAAGCCTACTAGACAAGTCATTTGGGATGAATTGGTTGTTGATAATAATAAAATTTTTCTTTCATGTCTTAAAGTATTGTATGTGATTTAAAATAATTTGACTATAAGTGAATAATTATTGTGTTATGGAAGGGAGCAAATGAGGGAAATAAATCAAGTTTAGTTGATGTGTTCCATGCGACTCGTAAGAAAGGCACCGACCTTCCAAATGCAGAGACGAAACAAAAATATGTATGTTCATTGAATTGAATGCTTGATTTAGTTCTAGCTTTGATTTTCTTAATTTTGTATTTTTTTTTTAATTTGGACATGATGATTATATTATTTATGTTGTAGGATGAAATTCGAAAAACAATAGAAAATGAACCATCACTTTCTCATGCCCAAGTATATACATTTTTTTTTGTCATATATTCCATTACAAGAATGTAATGTACTCCCTATATATATTTCATAATTTGTTATATGGAATGTTAAGATGTGCAAAAATTAATGTGATTTAAATGGGTTATATGTAAAACATGTAGGTTGCACAGAAGGTTTTTAAGTCAAAGTCTCGTGATCGGGTTGTGTGTTTTGGAGGAGGTATAACACTTAAAGAAATAACAGGACCACAACCTAGTAGAGTGGAACTTCAAACTGAGTTGACAACCGCACAAAAAACAAAATCAACATCTAATTAATCGTGTGGACACGGTACAAGCAGAGAATAATGAGCTCAAAGGACGAATGGGTGCATTTGAAGCTGAATTAAAAGCATTCAAGGATTTTATGATGCAACAGCAACAATAAGTGGCTGCTACTTATTGTCAATAATAAGACATATCTTATGATTTTTAGGCTTAAGGACAACATTTTATATTAGTAAACCTATTGTGTTTCAAATCTAAGCAAAAGGCTTAACTCTCACGACAAAGTGTATGTGATTATTGGTTTCATCTATTTTTAAGGTCAAACCTTGTGTGATAGATAAATTTGTCATTGGCTATGTTTTTTTAATGTCATTAATTTGATTTGATTTTTTTTGGTGCTAATTAATTTGATTTGATGATGTATGTAGTTACCTTTTCAAATTACGACAGAATAGAAATGCATCTTGTTATTTGCATTTGTAGTTAACAACAAAAATTTTGGTCGTTATAGATTTAAATTCAAATTTTATATAACCATTCAAGAAATGTTTTACGAGGAGATAATTGATCGTTATTGTCTAAAAGTTTGTTGTTGAAAGATTAGATATTAACGACAGTTACTTTGTTTGTCGTTAATGTTTAACGACGAAGTAATAAGTTGTCGTTAACATGTAACGATGAACATCATCCTTAAAACCAATAACAACGGAGCCTGTTACAACGAAAAGACGAAAATATTTCGTCGCTAAATGTTTTAACGACGGTTCAAAGGCCATATAACGACAAAAAAATTCGTCGTTAAAGACCCTTTTTCTAGTATTCTCTTAGGCTAAGTAGGCTAACAATTTAGGGATCAAGCCCCCAAGTCTAGCTCTATGTAGATAGGGATTAGCATAGGAGATCCCTTGATATGTTCATTTATTAAAGTAGATATGTATGAATGAATTTTTATTATGGCTGCACCTCGATGTGAGGTTGCCTACGTATCCGTTAGGAATCAGGCCGAACGTAGCTCTAGCCGAACCTCGCACAAGTGTGTGTATACCTCAAAAAGGTCTTTTAAAGGGTTGTAACGTGGTTAGGCTAAAGGTTTGAAGAAGAAGGGGATAAAGGCTCAACGCCCTAGATAAACCCCTAAGGTTTGCAACCTTGCTTTTGAATCTTTATATTTTTATGCTTGAGGGTTTTAACTCTTTTTTAGCTCTCTTTCATTTTTTTATTTTTGCATTTTATTATTTTGAACTTTTTTTTATAAGTGTGGGCAATCCAGATCATGCGGTCTATCACTCACTTGGCATTCATGTTTCTCGGGCTCGGTACCGAGCACTCGATAAAAGACGCAATCTCAGACGTGTTCTTATCAAAGATATTTTCATATTAAAGACATTGGAACACTTGTCCTTTTTCACACTTTTATTATTTTTTATTGCTTTTTTTATTTATTTTGATCTTTTGAAATCACTCAAGTTTTTTAAAATTGTATAAGTTGCACAGTGTCCCATCCCAAAATTAGGTAGATGTGAGTTGAAGAAAGAAAGGTCTATCGTTGGACGAGGCTTAAAGTGGTTTATCAAAAAGGATTTTATATTTTAAAGGTGAAAGGAGATATGATGTGGCTACAAGGGGTGCCTCAAATCATGGTATACCTTGTGTTTAGTTCGACATTTTTTTTAAGTGATGTAATGAAATGATCATATGCAAGAAAATAAATGCTCATTATATTAAAAGGGAAAAAGAAAAAATCTACAAAGTAAATCTAAGGGAAGAAAAAAAAGTGCCTATTCTAGACTTATTGGGGAAAGGAAAAATGAAAAAGAAATAGAAAAAGAGGTCATGAAATGTTGTCATTGAAGCTCGCCTCTTGACTTGTGTCGTTTGCTTTATCATCACCCAGTCTTCTTACTAGCTAGAGGCAATGGGATCTTGTTTGCTCTATGAGATCTTGAATGAGATTTTGAAACCTGTAGCATTCATCCGTGGTATGACCGTTTCCTTGATGGTACTTGCAATAAGAGTTGGGATTCCATCTCGAAGATCGATTTTCTAGGCGTTGGATCTTCAGTAGGGCAGATAGGTTTGATTAATCCTCGACCACAGAGACGATCGAAAGCAACGTCATAGGTTATTCCAATGGGTGTGAGCTCTGATTTGAGTTTCTTTTTAGATCCTTGTTTATCCATGGCTAAGACTTCATTGTGATCAAAGGAACTAACATTGTTACTAGAGTGGGCGTTTTCGGAGGAAGAAGGATTGTCGTTCTTCTTTCCTTTCTAGCCACTGTGGTTGTTACTTTGCGAGGTCATCTTCAATTTCAATTCCGATGTCATAGACGGCCTTGAAAGTATTCAAATTATGTTGATATTTTAAATGCTTTGAATACTTCTCTTGAAGATTCCTGATAAACATCCTTAAGGATTCTTTTTCGGTGGGCACCTCAATAATATTTAGCGGAAGTTTCCCTCCACTTATTAAAAAAAGAAGTAAAGCCTTCATTCTCTTTTTGTCTCAGCATCTCAAATTTTCTATAGTCAGTTTCGATTTGAATATTACACTTATATCTGTCAATAAAAGCGTTTTTTATTCCATCCCAAGTAGATGCTTTTTCTTTATCAAGGGAAAAGAACCAATGTTTACAAACGGTTTCTAAAGACACATTGAGAATAAAGAGTGAAAAATATTCTTATCAATCCCCTTAATGTTCATTATAGTTTCAAAGGCCCTTAAATGGAAGTAAGGATTATCTGTTGCCTTGAACTTAGGGATTGCATTGGCATTGAAATTCTACGGAAGAAGCTCCTTGTCCACTAAGACCTCTTGTGAGCTAATGCCCTGGAATCTATAGTCATTGGATATTTTGCTCAAGTTTTCTTGCATGAGCTTCATTTGTTGTTGTTTCACAAGATCATTGATTTAAAGGGTTAAAGCCTTCAACCCCTCAGTTACGTCTGCCATTTGCTTCTTAAGCTCATTAACTTCTTCTTGAGTGGCCATTATGTTCTTAGATTTTCTCTTCCGACTGACTGGTTTATCAAAAAGTTGAACTTGAATGAAGGTGTTGTCCTTGATTAATCACCCTTCTCTCTTTGACCAAGTACTGTGGAAAGGGAAGTTAGGGATAAGTTTTTTTATTATTTATTTTGACTCAAGCTCTATTCAACATGGAAGAGAATGTGAAAGAGAATGGGAACAGATTGGACACCCCACTCGAATGACGGAAAAAAGACTCATGCATGAACCTAAGACATGGTCATGGTGACATATACAAAGTGTGTTCTAAGACTAGTGAGTGTAGGTCACATGTTAAGACTCGTGTCATGACCATGTGGCTAGACTATGTGACTAGACTAAGTTAACACTTCATGTATATGCATTAAACTGGACATGTTGTGGTATTTTAGTCATCACTTTTTATTTGTGACTTTGATGGGAATGAAACCAACAAAAAATTGAAGATAAAACTCGTGGGTACAGATCCATAGGTTGTACGACTCGTAGTTCTTCCTATAACTCCAGCTATGACCAAAACATGTTGACACCGCTTGTGCAGTATACGGGAATAAAAATCCGGGTTGACTTAAAGGAACTATGACTCGATTTTAGACATATTTATTAGCTAAAATTAATTAATTAAGCAAATTCCTTTAGTCATTTATTAGTTTATTAAAACTTATTTATAAACACAACTCAAACCAAACGGTTAGTTTAGTCACATAATAAGTATGCACAAGTAGTCAAGTAGGCACAATATGATGCAATGAGTTTGCAACCTAACCATGGCTCTAGTTCTTTAAAGTTCGGAATATGGGTTAGTCAAAGAGGGCCCATGGTTATGAGTCTGGATGCACCGCGCGGAATCCTTACTTTTGGAAGGGTTGGCGTGAGTGGATGAGACCCCGCGAGTTAAATTCGCTTCCATGGTTTGGTGAATTCAAAATTCTCAGATGTACCCTTTGTTGCTTAGAGCGTTCAATCAGGTAGATGGAGCATGAATTCCCAGAGGGTTATGTCCATATGTTGAACACATATGGGTTTCAGAAAAGTGAGAAAAACTCAATCAGAAAGTAGAATCGAGCCAACCGTGCTAGAGCTGGTCGAAACAAGAACACATATTTCTGGCTCGGTATTGGAAGAACGCAACACCAACCAACAGGGACTATCGGCGGGATATGACCCCTGCCGCCTGGCGATAGAATTTTTGCTCGGCGACATAACCATATCTTCGGTGACAGGCTCTGTTTTCTAGACGCTAGTTCCTACATGCCTCAACAACTGTCTGTGTTCTTAGAATTTTCTAATTTTTCGCAGCATTATTTCAATTCTAGTTGTGAAAGATATTCCTTAAGTTTCCTACGTGTAAAAATACTTTGTTTTTACTCATTACAGATGGTCTTTCCAATGAGAACCTTTTTTATGCATATGAAAATAATGTTAATCAAAATTACGCACATGAAATCCTTAGAACTTTTCGTGTCTCATCCACCCATTCTAAATAATTGCCAAAATAAATTTTAGGAATTGAAATAGAAATTGTCCCCAGTGGAGTCGCCAAAAACTGTAGGGAATATTTCACGCATTACCCCAAACTTGAACCCCAATGTGATCATACAATAAAGTACAGTGGAGTCCAAAGGGAAGGAAGATAGAGCAAAAGAGACGCCAACAAGTTATAGAAACTTGTAAACCGTTCACATGGTGAAGGTTACACCCCTTAACAATCAAGGAGTTCGTTAACTCCAATAGGTCTGAAACAAGACTGGAAGTTCGGAGATGAAGGTACAAATTCAATCTAAAAGAGAAAGAACCTGCCCTAATAATAGGCCTCTATTTTATTCTTCTCGTATTCATGTGCGCTTTCTGACTAACATGCAACCAATAGGTTTACCCTAAACCTATTTAATCTATGTTGATTGAATGTTAATGCACAAATAAAACTATTATTGGCGATCACTTGAATTATAATCATATTAATCCTAAACAAGATTATTAATTATCTTATAAAGCGTGATTACAAGTACAAATTCCCT